TCAGCAGTAACAAGAAAATGGACAACAGCAAGTGTTGGCTTCTAAGAATGCTCCTTCGGAGAAAGGATGGTGAGACTACATCTTGCACACTTTTGACACATTGTCAGGAGGGATCAGTCCCTGGAGAAGGACGTCATGCTTGGTAAAGTAGAGGGTCAGCAAAGAAGAGGAAGACCCTCAACAAGATGGATTGACACAGTGGCTGCAACGATGGGCTCAAGCATAACAACAATTGTGAGGATGGTGCAGGACTGAGCAGTGTTTCATTCTGTTGTATACGGGGTCGCCGTGAGTCAGAATCGACTCGACGGCACCTAACAGCAAGAAGTGTTGGCGAGGATGTGGAGAGACTGGAACGCTCATCCATTGCTGGTGGGAACGTAAAATGATGCAGCCACTGCGGAAAACAGTCTCGCGGTTCCTCAAAAGGTTAAACATGGAGTCACCCCATGACTCAGCTATTCCAGTCCTGGGTATGTACCCAGGAGAAACGAAAACATACATCCACAAGAAACTGCAAGAACGTCCACAGCAGCAGGATGCACAACAGCGAGAATGTGGAAACAGCCCAAGTGTCCATCAACAACAGCTGATGGATGAACACAATGTGGTCCATCCACACAATGGAATATGACTCGGCCATAAAAAGCAACAAAGCTCCGATACACGATATGACATAGAAAGTATTCTGAGCAGTGAAAGCAGCTAGTCACAAAAGGCCACATAGTGTGGGACTCCATTTATGTGAAATCTTCAGAACAGGCAAATCTATGGAGGCAGAAAGCGCGGGGGGGCTGGGGGAGGGGAATGGGGAGTGACTGCTAATGGGCTGGGGTTTCCTCTTGGGGTGATGAGAATGTTCTAGAAGTTGGTGGTGGTGGTGGTTGCCCAACTCTGTCAATGCACTAAACCCACTGAATTGTACACTTTAAACGGGCAACCTGTCTGGTATGGGAATTATATCTCAATAGAAAAAAATAAATAAAGAGGCTTTGGGGCTTCTGTTCAAGGCTTCTCTGCTCCTCGTGGGTCCCTGCCTTCCTTGCGGGCGGCTCCCACGGCCTGTTCTCTTGCCGGCCACCAGAGGGAGCCCTTAAAACCAAATTCACATCCGGGTGCCACAGCCCCGCCCCCCTTCAAGGCTCACCAGGTACACAGGTAGTCCCTCAGGACACAGCCTTGTGGGTACCCAGCCTCAGCTCAAAGTCCCTCTCTCCACTCTGAGCATCAGCCCCACAGGGACCTCTCAGTTCCTCCACCCTGAAAACTCCGTCCTACCCCAGGGCCTTTGCATGTGCTCTACCACCCCACGACACAGCACATCAGGGGGCTTCTCCTCATCTCTCAGGCCCCAGCTCCAAGGTCACCTTCTCTAAGAAGCTTCCCCAGGCTCCTCCCCACCCTGTACGTCTTTGGGTTTATGGTAGCCTTTATTACAATTGTAATAATTAGTGAGCTCCTGCTGGGCCTGCCGGCTGGGGGTCCCTGAGGACCCAAGGTTAAACTCCAGAGCCTAGCCCAGCACCAGTGTATGGTCAGGCCTCAAGGGTGTGCCAGCACAACCTCTCAGCCCAACAGCAGGTCCTGGGTGATGAGACCCTGGCCCTGAGCAGTGTCCATATCATCAAACTGGGGTCTGGAATCTGTGCACTCTCCAGAGTGACTGTCTAGAACAGAAGCTGCACACATCCTCTGTCCACACACAGGAACGATATGTGTGTCCTGGGGCACGACCCTCCCCCACCTGGTGACGACATGCATGTCCTGGATCCACATACCCTTCCCCACCTGGTGACAATATGCATGTTCTCGACCTGCATACCCTCCCCCCCCAGTGATGACACACGTTTCCTGGAGCCTTATGCCCCCCCCCCCCAGTGATGACACACGTTTCCTGGAGCCTTATGCCCCCCCCCCCCAGTGATGACACACGTTTCCTGGAGCCTTATGCCCCCCCCCCCCAGTGATGACACACGTTTCCTGGACCCTCATGCCCTCCCCCATCAGTGACGACACACACGTCCACGGCCCACATATCCTGCCCCCACCTGGTGACAACACACGTGTCCTGGACCCACACACTTCTCCTGGCAGCTCCGAGGGCCTGTGATCCAAGTTTCTGATTCCAGCTGAGTTAAGGTGTGTGGGGAGCAGGGGGCAGGGGGCTCGCTCGTACCTTTGGTCTCGTCCTCGTAGACCTTGATGCCCTGAGGGAACGGCTCCTGGGGGAGCAAGGTGGTGCTGGACAGCACCCTGGTCTCCCCTGTCACCTTGTCCTTCTCCACCGTGATCTCCACCGAGTACATGGCTGGCACGAGAGGACAGCGTTACGCCTCGGCCAGCTGCCCGCCCCATGCCCCCTGCCGCGCTCGCGGCCAAGCCAGGGAGGGGAGCCAGCAGGGCAGAGGCCAAGCAGCCATTGCAGGTCGTGCCGGAGATGCCGGTGCACGGTTCTTGACGCAGCCCTCTCTCACTCAACATCCTTCCATAGCTCCCCAGCGCAGAGGGCAGTGGTCTAAATTCCTCTTCTCAGTTTTCGAGGCCCCATACTTGCCACCCACCCCTTGTCCCGTCATCCTTCTGTCTTCTGAATGCCATCCTTCACTCAGCCACTGAACTACTGTCTCCAGGCCCTGGTCCCCTCCCACCCCTGTCGGAAAGCCTTAGACCATTCCCACTTCTCAGAGGAGCAAAGAGAACCCAAGGGACGCTGTGCTTTGCCTGTGGTCACACGGGACTCAAACTCTGACTCACGTTCCCAGCCCCACCCCTGGAAGTCCCAGACCACTGCCTCCTTCTAGTCAACATATAACCATTTCAACCCATTTCAACACGAAGAACTATGCCTTCTTGAAATACATGAGTGTCATTACCTGTGAGGGCCATGAGCGTGGTAATTCCATACCTAGCACCTCCCCCGTCCCTGGTTTGTAAAAATCTTTATCGTGAACACCACGTGGAGAGACAGTCCAGACGGACGCCAGGGCTGACTGTGGCCCCCGGGTCTGACCGCACCCCCAGGCCGTGGATGTGAGAACTGAAGTGGTTGTGGGTTTCCATCCTCCTGGCACTCACGGGGTGCCTGAGAGCCGCATCCTCCTGCGGTTTCCAGGACCCCAGGTTCACCTGGCTCTCCCCCCGCCCCCATCTCTGACGCTCATGCCGAGTGTCCCCTCTGCTGTGACCACATTCGCCCCCAGGACGCCCCCCCCCACCCCCGGCTCACAGCTCCAAACTCCCCCAGTGAGATGGCGCCCTCGCGTTCACGTCCACCCGCACCTCGTCCTGGACTCGTATCCCACCGCCTCCTCGACATCACCCCTCGGGGTCACACGGGAGCCTCAACTCACCACGTCCAGGACCCCACCCCCATCTGCCCCCAGACCTGCCCCTCCCGTGTCTTCCCTCGTCGGTCAGGGGCACCTCTGTCCTCTCTCTCATCCCGACGTGCCGTCCATCCACAAAACCTGTGGGCTCTGCCTTCAGAACACACCTCAGTCCGCGCTGAGCCCACCCGCCCCATCAGCACCGCTGGACCAAAAGCAGTCGCCCCGCCCAGGTCCTCAGCGCCGCTCGTCTGTCCTCATGCGGCCGCCAGAGGGCACCCGTGAGCACAGAGTCGGCACGACTCTGCTCTGCCCGCACGCACGGGCTGTCCTCCCCACGGCCGCCAGAGGGAGCCGGTGAGCACCGAGTTAGCCTGTCCCTGCTCTGCCCACAGCCCTCCCGTGCTCTCACGACCCTCGACCCTCAGGTGAAAACCCAACTCCTCCCCGTGCCCACAGGTCCCTGCACGACCAGCCCTGTCCCCTCCCTGCCCTCCCCTCCTCCTCTCTCTTGCCCTCACTCACTCCAGCCACACGGACCTCTTCGCTGTTCAGCATGCCAGGCACAGTCCTGCCTCAGGGCCTTTGCACGAGCGATTCTGGCTGTCCCGAGCATTCTTCCCCCAGATGCCTGCATGCGTCCCTCCTGTCTTTGGGTCCTTGCTCAAACGTCACCTCCTCAATGAGGCCTCAGATGACAACTGCCCTTCCATAGCTTCCCATGTTCCGCCTTTCTTTTCCCATAAGTTAATTGTACAGGTTCACCCCCACCAGAGTATCAGCTCCCTCAAGATGTGCCCCGTGCATGCGCACAGCAGGAGCTCAATAAGCACTTTCTGAATGAATGAATGAATGATATTTAACCCTGTGTCCCCACCCAGCCTAACATCCCCACCCCAGACATCCGCCTCCACGCAGTCGGGCAGGTCGTGCACTGCACAGGTCAAACAGCTTGGGTCCTGGCCAGGGCTGATCCGACTCTGGGAGGTTGTTACCCTCTGCCTCCCTTCCTCCGGGGACAAAACCCGGCCTGGGTGATGCAGGCGACCCCAGGCCTCCCCTGCTGCCCTCAGCTCCCTCAGCTGTCGTCACCTCCTGGCCCCCTCAACCCAGCCCCGAAAACAGTCTTGTCTCCCTGTCCTCAGTCCCATACTTCCCCAGTTCACGTGGACAACAACAGTAATGCTTGTCACTGGCTGTTATTTCTTACCATGATCAAGCTCCTGTCTGGTCCCAGGCATGAGGTCCACACACCCAGCCCTCTGGCAGGTGGGGAAACTCAAATCCCCTACAGGGACTGGAACCCTGACCTTTTGAACTGTAGAACACTCAGCATTAACCCCCTGCCTTCTAGAACCACAGAAATCCCCGTGACCTACTTGGTCACCTCCAGAGATGGGCTGCTCACTCCTGGTTGACGCTGGAAGAGGTGGGGCTTGCGGGCTGCATATGAGAGCGTGTGGAAGCGTGTTCGAGCATGTGCGCCACCCCCTCTGGGCCCCTGAGCGTGCCTCGAGGTTAAGGGAAATGAAGCCGCGAGGGGTGTAGGGTTAGAGCCGCCATGCAAGGCTGTCTTCTCATGGAAGCGTGGGCCAGCGTGTGGCCGGGGTGCCGAAGCAGAGGAGGCGCTCGGGTCCCACCCCAGGCCCAGAGCCGTGGCCTCTGGTCCAGCCACCACGCCCATCACCACAGCTTCCTGAGGCTCTGCTGAGGGCAGGGCCCACCTCCCACCAGGCCCCCCGCGCTGAGCCACAGGACGGGATGGCGGCTGGACATGGGCCGAGCCTGGGGGCCAACCCACCTGCCTTCATCATGGTGGAGCCGTCGACACCTGCCTTCATCATGGTGGAGCCGTCGACCGTCCTCAACGGGGTGTTGCAGACTGAGTGTTTCTCTGCTTGGTGAGACAGGAGGAGGTTGGAGAGAGGGGGAGAGAAAGAGGAAGAGAGAGAGGGAGAGGGAGAGAGAGAGGGAG